CACTGCAGCCTGGTGTGAGCAGGTGGGGTTCCCATTGAGCTCTGCAGCCCGGGGTGAGGTGGAGTTCCCAGTGAGCCCTGTAGCCCGGGGTGAGGTGGGGTTCCCAGTGAGCCCTGTAGCCCGGGGTGAGGTGGGGTTCCCAGTGAGCCCTGTAGCCCGGGGTGAGGTGGGGTTCCCAGTGAGCCCTGTAGCCCGGGGTGAGGTGGGGTTCCCAGTGAGCCCTGTAGCCCGGGGTGAGGTGGGGTTCCCAGTGAGCCCTGTAGCCCGGGGTGAGGTGGGGTTCCCAGTGAGCCCTGTAGCCCGGGGTGAGGTGGGGTTCCCAGTGAGCCCTGTAGCCCGGGGTGAGGTGGGGTTCCCAGTGAGCCCTGTAGCCCGGGGTGAGGTGGGGTTCCCAGTGAGCCCTGTAGCCCGGGGTGAGGTGGGGTTCCCAGTGAGCCCTGTAGCCCGGGGTGAGGTGGGGTTCCCAGTGAGCCCTGTAGCCCGGGGTGAGGTGGGGTTCCCAGTGAGCCCTGTAGCCCGGGGTGAGGTGGGGTTCCCAGTGAGCCCTGTAGCCCGGGGTGAGGTGGGGTTCCCAGTGAGCCCTGTAGCCCGGGGTGAGGTGGGGTTCCCAGTGAGCCCTGTAGCCCGGGGTGAGCAGGTGGGGCTCCCAGTGAGGCTTGTAGCCCGGAGTGAGCAGGTGGGGTTCCCAGTGAGCCCTACGGCCCGGGGTGAGCAGGTGGGGTTCCCAGTGAGCCCTGTAGCCCGGGGTGAGCAGGTGGGGCTCCCAGTGAGCCCTGCGGCCTGGGGTGAGCAGGTGGGGTTCCCATTGAGCTCTGCAGCCCGGGGTGAGGTGGAGTTCCCAGTGAGCCCTGTAGCCCGGGGTGAGGTGGGGTTCCCAGTGAGCCCTGTAGCCCGGGGTGAGCAGGTGGGGCTCCCAGTGAGCCCTGCGGCCTGGGGTGAGCAGGTGGAGTTCCCAGTGAGCCCTGCAGCCCGGGGTGAGCAGGTGGGGTTCCCAGGGCAGCGCAGCCCCCGCCCACCCGGGGCCCTGCCTATGCAGAGCTGCTGGACCCTCTCAACTCTGCAGCTCACAAGGGCCCAGACCCACAGGTGCTGAGCCCTTCACTTCAGGTCCCTCTTCCCCTTTAGTGCCCCGTGGCAGCTGCGCCTCAAGGTGAGCGGCTCCAAGGGCTGGGAGATGGGGTTTTCCTACAGTTGGGGAGCAGTTTGCTGCAACTTCGGCCCAGCTCCTGGGACCCCTCTGCCGGGCCCTTCAGCCATTGAGGTATACTTACTATTCACAGCCTTGGGGTGCTTGCACTGTCTCAGGATCCCCCATTCGCTGGGAAAACGGGGTTTTTCCACTGCCTCACACCCTGTCCCTGCAGGCGTTAGGAACTAAATGCAACCCCAAAATCCCAGGAGGCCGCCAGTGGGACCGGCCCGGAGGCAGTGTGTGCGGGAGCAGCGGGAGCTGCTAGCAGTGCTGTGGGCCACCTGGCAGGCAGGTCTGCGCTGGCCCACAGGCTTGCTTGTTAGAAGCAAAGCTGCCCAACCCTAATGCGACGCTGCGATAAAACGCTTCAAGTGGCTCCCTACAGGCTGGCCCTCGGTGGCCCACCCGCTCGCTTCCTAATGCTGACTAGCTGCCTGCCCCTGGCGTCGGGTCTCCTTAGCCGCAGCCCCTTTCCACTCACCTCTCTCTACCAACTTCCAGATCTCGCTCACTTCGACGTCCCCTCCATCCACGTGGAGCTCGGGCCGGCGCTCCGCCTGAGTCCCCTGGAGCACAAGCTGCGGCCCTCGGTGACCGAGAAGAGGGACTCGGAGGAGGACTCAGAGAGCACCGCCCTTTGACATGCGTGTACATACGTGGGCCCAGACCAGCATATAGCAGGGCGCCCTGGGCCCAAGTTCCCCGCGGCTCTCGCTGTCACTGCCGCGCACGGCCGGAGCTCTGCAGAGAGCGGTCACCCCCGGCCTGAGTGGCAAACGTCGGTGGTGCAGATTGTGTTCGTTCCCCTCGGGTGGTGACGTGGGCCTTTTGTTTGATCTTTGCCTTTGACTTTGTGCCTATTTGACCTACTTTCAGCCTCCATGCCAAGCAGCAGCCCTCTCCACCAAGGGCTCCTGGCAGTCCTCTGCAGGGGGAGGGGGAGGGCCAGGTGCTGGGCGAGACCAGGGCTGCGCCTGTACTGACAGCACGAGTCCTCAGTGTCAGCTGACGGGTGTCGGCTGGACGGCCACAGAAGGGGACGGAGAGCAAGCCCTTCACTGACAGGGACCAGACCGATTCTCGAGTCCTGGGCGCTGACTGGCGCTGCACAGGGAGGCTCCCCTCCTGGGTGGGCTCTAAGTAAACGCTGAACACATTTGTTTCACTTCCCAAGTTTTATTTTCCACACCGTGTTACCGAAAGCTCCTGTTTCTACCTTCCCGTTTCACACTTCCAAACTGAAAAATGGCCTTGATGTCTAGAGGGCCTAAAGACACCTCCCCGTGCCCCCCCACCCCCCCAACATCAAATGATCTGACAGCATTCTACACCTCCAGCTCTCAGGGGCACCAGCTCACAGGTGCGGGGTCGGGACCAGGAGCCTCTCTCCTGGAGGGCACTTGTGAATAGCAATAACTGTTACCCAGAGCCACAGCATAGCGTGAGACCGGCCTGGGAGACACCAGGCCAGCCCCAACCCCCAGCGTCAGGCTCTCTCCCCTTCTCACGAGACCCCACCCCCTCTTGGGGGCAGGCGGGAGCACTGGGAGCCCACACCCTCTGGGACTGAGAGACATCTGGGTCATGCATGCACAGCCACACTTTACAATTTTACCCTTTTAAGGCAGAGATGACATACCTATACATGATATATTTGTATATATGAAATTTCTCTATATTTGTTTAATTTGAGCCATTCAATCTAAGCCAGTGTACAGGTGTACGATGCGAAGTTTAAGTGCGTATTCCTTCTCCCAGCACAGTGTAAAATAGCCCTCCTCTGACCGTGGGGTAGGCAGACTTGGGATGCTACCAGCTTTGCTCACTTCCTGGCGAGGGCGGTTTGGTACCCAATTTGCAATGGAGCCCGGGGGCTGAAAGCACCTTTAAATACATGTACAAATAGTTGTCAAAAGTAATCTTATTAAAATAGATTTATTATCCCTGAGCATGGCCTTTCGTTGTTTAAGTTACGGAGCGTGTGGGGACACGGGACTCAGTGACAGGTGCTGCCTGGGGAGGTGCTGCCGAGGCCTCCGCCTGCCTCCCTCTCATCACCGGAGTTTTTAAAGCATTTCTGTCTTCTCCTCGGTAGGAGAATATACAAATAAATACTGGACTTAGCTTTAAAAACTCCGTCTTCAGGCACTAACCTCAGTGCTGTTCAAGCGCATAAGGGGGCAGGGGAGCCAGCCTGACATGCTACTTCGTAATACGCTGAAGGGCAACGAGGGATTCCCGTTCTCACTGCGCCAGGGAAAGCCGACTACCGTCTCGCCGCTCCCAGCACTGCGGGAGGCTATGTTCGGAGGCGCCGCGTGGGCCCAGCCATTCGACTGGTGCATGAAACCAGGCCCCGTTGGCAGCCTGCACAGCTGACTCGGCAGAACCCGGCCACTGTGTGCCTCCCGGGACAGGCGTGGTCCTCCCGCCTCAGAGCTGGCCTCCGGGACACGCTGGGGCCTGCGCAGGCGGCACCGCCTGGGAGGCTCCTGTGGAGGCGGCACCAGGACCAGGCAAAGCACTTGTTCCGCAGGAATCTTTATTGAGTTCTGGGCTCTGGAAACACTACTCCTTGAGCCTGGAGCCTTGGGCACTGAGACGTCACATCCACGACCCGTGTTCCCTGACGGCCTGTCTCTGGTGTGCGGAGGGCACGGCTTGGCAGGAACAGGCCTGGTATGCGTTCTTCTACGTGACTTAAGTCACTGGCACCGAATTCCGTTTCTTTCCTCGCAGCCCCCTGTCCACGGCTCCGCCAGGCACATTCGTAACACGTCCAGCACGCAGTCCTCACCTGGAGCCCAAGCCAAGGCCCAGCTCCCACCGCCGTTCCCGTGTGCCGCCCGTTCCACAGCACCCTCGGCTCCCACCAGGCAGAGGGCGCACTCGGGACCCTGCCGGGGTGGGGCGTGAGCCTTCCAAGGTCAGGGCCGCTCCTGGCCTTCATTCTGCCCTGACCTTCCTCTGTGGGCTGGCAGGCCCCTCGGTATGGGCCCGTTTCCGCGGGGGCTCACTGTCCGGCGCCGCCCGCCTGCACCTGGGAGAGCAGGGCCGCCCGCACCAGCCGCAGCTCCCGCTTCTCCCGGCGCTCCTCCATCTCCCCAAGGTCACCAGCAAACAGCGCTTTCAGCGGGGCCATCAGCCGGGGCACCGTGGAGAGGTCTCCGAGCCGCACCTGGAGGGCAGGACGGGGAAGACATGCCTCAGTGAGGAAGGCGCGTGGCCATCCAGCAGGCACACATCCCCTCACCAACCCTGCGGCCACAGACCACAGCCGGAAAAAGAAGGAAAACGCAGAGGCGGCGGCAGGAGACTCAAGAAAGGGCAGAGACGCCCCACAGCGGCTGAGGGCGGCCAGGTGAAGGGGCGTCAGAAGCCTAGGCTGCCCGACTCTGAAAATCAGGCTCCTCAGAAACAAGCCTGGCCCCTGCCCAAGCCGGCCTGGCTCCCCAGTCCCAAGACGAGAGGCCGTCTCCAGGCTCCGAAGCTGTGGTGATGGTGAGAACAGACGAGCCCCCGAGGCTCTGTCATTTCCAGTCACCAGCGCTAAACGGGGCCGGCGGAAGGTCGGGCGGCCTTCAAACCCGGTGCTGGTCCTGAGGAGTGATGGGGCATCCCTCCCATAGCGTCCATGTGGCACGGTCTCTGCCTGGCCCCACTGGCGCAGCCCACACCACACACACACCTTCATGTGGTCAAAGGCGATGCCGACTTTCTCGTTGAAGTCCGGGCTGAAGAGGGGGATCTTGGCGTAGCGCTGGCTGAAGTGGTTCAGCATGATGAACCTGGCGTTCATGCGCATTCCCACACCGATCGCCTGCGAGGTGGTGCTGCAAACAGGGTTGGAGGGTGGCATCCGGCTGACACGCCCCCTTGGGCCTGCCCCTGCCCCCCAACCTGCCTTATTCCCCGACGTGGCTCACAGCTGATTCCAGCCTGTTTCTAGCTCTTTCTAACACTGGGCTGCCTCGGAGCCTTGCCTAGAGCTCTGCAGAGATAACGACGAAGGGCCCAAAGCCAACCACCTCCCGTTACAGCCCGCAGCCCCTGGTGGGACGCAGGCAGGTCTTTCTCAGCAGGGCTGCCGTGAGGCCGCGCAGTCACCGGGAGGGGAGAGAAAGGGAGGGAGTAGGTGACAGGCCGAAGCGTTCGCAGCTACCTGTGTGTCTTTTCCACGGCTTCCACCTCCAGACCGTCTTCCAGC